AATAAATTGATGGCTACGTTTCTCCTGGTCTGATTAGAGCATGCGGCTCTTCCGTCTGGAGATGATTTCCAGCTGGACGAAGGCTGTTTTAGTGATTGATTTGACATGACTGCTGAAAGTCAAGTCTGAGTCAATCAGCAACCCAATATTTCCGACTTTGCCTTTGGTTTTTGTTTTTAGAGACATGTTTTAGAGAGTCAGTCTAGTGTATCGTCCCTTCCAAAACGCAACAGGGAGACTACTGTAGCATGCAAAGATGTTGCAGATGTAAATAGGCCGGCAAGCGCCGGTGTAATAAAGAATGTGACCTTTACAGGAGGCACAATGTCATTTCTTCTTTGATTCATCATTCAGGTGAGAGTCCAAAAGGGCAACCCCTCGTGTGCCCCCACCAGAGACAATCTCGTTCCTGGCTGATTCTCCTCTCATCCACACACACACACACACACACGTCTCACAGTGTGACCACTGAGGAGACCTACCTCCATTTCCTCTGCTTCCTTTCAGGGCACAACAAGCTGGAGAAGGTGACGAATGATGACAGCGCGGGGATCACTTGTAGGTCTCCCCTGCCGATTTCGACTGCCTGTCATTGGACGAAGGCTGTTTTAGTGATTGATTTGACATGACTGCTGAAAGTCAAGTCTGAGTCAATCAGCAACCCAATATTTCCGACTTTGCCTTTGGTTTTTGTTTTTAGAGACATGTTTTAGAGAGTCAGTCTAGTGTATCGTCCCTTCCAAAACGCAACAGGGAGACTACTGTAGCATGCAAAGATGTTGCAGATGTAAATAGGCCGGCAAGCGCCGGTGTAATAAAGAATGTGACCTTTACAGGAGGCACAATGTCATTTCTTCTTTGATTCATCATTCAGGTGAGAGTCCAAAAGGGCAACCCCTCGTGTGCCCCCACCAGAGACAATCTCGTTCCTGGCTGATTCTCCTCTCATCCACACACACACACACACACACGTCTCACAGTGTGACCACTGAGGAGACCTACCTCCATTTCCTCTGCTTCCTTTCAGGGCACAACAAGCTGGAGAAGGTGACGAATGATGACAGCGCGGGGATCACTTGTAGGTCTCCCCTGCCGATTTCGACTGCCTGTCATGAATAAAACAGAGTGGATTAACAGACAGGAAGACAAAAACAGCATCTTTTACTCACATTGGAGCGGATTACAGTGGTTTGTAGTATTATTATTCAGCAGGCCTCACCTTTTCCCTTGGAGGAGATTCAAGAAATACTCAAACTGAGTGGATGAGGAATTCTGCAAAGCACGGTTCAAGTCAAGTGTGCTTTCTTCACTGCAGAGGATCTCTTAGACTAATTAAACTAATGAATAGATTTTGTCCCTTTGCCCTCACTTTTTATTTTGGCGGTATGCTGAAAAAAAAAAAAACTTTCCAATTGCAGGAGTGCAGCAACGTTGAGATGTCTGCTAGAGAAAGACAGCTGCAGCTCAATACATAAAGCGGAGAGCTTGTTGGCTCACACACAAAGCACTTATTATTCATGAACTCCGCCCGGTTTTTATAAATATGCTCCTCAGTCGTGGAGATATGGTTACTAATAAGACATAGTGTCTCTACTAGTGCACCAAATTAAATTGTCTTAAAAGTGAGAATGAGGTGCATACTAGTCATTAATTTTTAGCTGGGTCTCGAGGAGATGGAGTAAATGCTCCCCATACCCCCGCCCCCCCTACAAACTTAATTGGAGTTCACCAGTGGTCGATTCCATTGATTGGACATGATTTAGAAATGCACAATAAGTGTCCCACAGTTGACAGTGTATGTCAGAACACGGGCCGATCATCAAGTCAAATCAAGTAAGACTTTCTTGTCAAATGCGCTGTAGATGAAATTTCTTCCCTCCCAACCAGCCAACAAGAGGAGCCGCTGCAGGTGCCCGCGCCGCCATCAAAAGAACAGTTAACATAAAATGAGAAAATAATACAACACAACACAACACATAGGACACAGACAGTCGTGCAATCTTAACCACTTTTCCTGCATACACTTTGTTTTTTTTGAAGCAGTTATAGATGAAAGAGGAGCGAATCAAAATGTCCTTTTCACCAGTGGATCAAAGACGTCATGCTGAAAATGTGCACACGTCTGCTACAAGCTAGGTTTGAAAGCAACAAGAAGCTGTAGTGTCCATTAACGAAAAAGAGATTGGCTCACATCTCCTGTCCCATGTAAATCCGCTTCAATTCCAAGCCGCGACTCCCAGTTTCACAGACGCATCGGCGCTCTGCGCTGACTCTCCTTTCTTCTCATCGTCGGCTCCTCAAGCCATGCATCCATCCAGCCGCAGACTGTCCAACAGCACCGACCTTTTCGTTGAGCAAAGCGGGGCTGTGAAAATGCTGCCCATTACAGGCGCAAAACAAAAGCGCCCCGGGGCTGTCCAGCAACGACAGTCAAATGGCGCCAACATTCCTCCTAATCAAAATCAGTGCTGGTGCACGCGTGCTGCTGCGAAGGCGCAACCACCAAGCAGATTCTTCTTTTTTGAGAATGTCATGGCCAAAAATGCTGAAAACAATCCACATCAGGTCCACACGACGTAACAACACCACCATGTGACAAAACAAAAGACAAAAACAACAAAAAAACGCAAGGCTCTTGATGAGCACTTACTGATGGCTGCCTACTCAGGTTAACTCCTACTTGGGGGAAAAAAAAAAAATTAAATCATGAAGTCAAAGGAATTATCTGTCGTGTTGCCAGGCAGGGTTCTCTTGAGGAAGACACAGAAACGTCTACTACTTTGCAAGTTCCGATGGGCACAAGTGGGCTCCGTCATCCGTACATACGACCATTTGGAAAGCAGCAGGACTCTTCTGAGAGGTGGCCACACACCTGAACAGAAAATTTGTGGCTGAAGGGCCTGGGTCAGGGAGGTGAGCAAGAACTTGATGGTCGCATAAGTGGTCCTCTGTGGAAAAGCTAAGAGGCCCATGATCTCTCTGGATGGATGAAATGCAGAGATCCACAGCAGACAACTGCACTGCTTAAATCTGCCTTTCAGGAAAAGTGGCAAGAAGAAAGCGACTTCTCAAAATTAACCATAAAAAGTCCCCTTTGAAATTGAATGCCAAGACGTGTTACCCGGCCAATAGCAGCCCAAGAGTGAAGCAGGCTGGTGGCATCATGTTTGATGAGTTTCAACGGAAGTAACTGGCAGGCTAGGTCAAATTGAGGGAAATGGGAAACGCTGGGAAATCCCAGAAGAAAAGCTGCCCCGGAGCACTCTTGACCTCAGAGTGGGTCAACAGTCCATTTTTCAGCATCACAAAGACCCCAATAGCACACAGCCATTAAAGTGGCCTCAGGAAGGCCCTGTAAATGTCTTCGGGTGGTCCAGCCAGAGACCACACTTGTTGCGTCATTTAAAAAATACAAATGTAATTTCAGCAAACTCTCAGAATACTTTGGTACGGCAATAGAATTTCTTAATTTCCTTCAGTAAGAATAAAAACATTTTTTCATGTAATTATGCCATTTTGAGCAGAAAATTTTGAGAGTCGAAAGCAGCTGGGAGGTGTTGAATACTTTCCAGTTGCACTGTACGGGTTAAAGCGGGTCCTTGAGATATGAGTGTCTTGACTTGTGAGTCGTTTGATATAGAAGCCCCCAAGTGGCATTGTTTTGAGTTATAAGCAAACATTCTAGATGCAGTGGTGCCTTAAGGTATGACTAATTTGTTCCGTAATCACGCTCAGAATTTTAAAACACTAATCTCTTAAAAATCGTTTCTCTTTCAAATGAATGGAAATGCCAGCCTTCCCCAAATGAAAATTGTCATGTCTATTTTCAGGAGGAAAAAAAAAAACCTTTCCATAAAACCACATAGTATCATCAATAGAATGAATAAGACTAACCATTTTCGTCCAACTGATGGCCATTTTGCTCCTCTCTGTTACGGTTGCCTTGGCCACCTGGACATACAGATTTCATTGTTCATTGAGCTATTGCAGCTCATCTCAGCTCAATAATACGGCTCGAGTATAATGCGTTTTTCACATAAAATGATACATGATTGAGTACTTTATTGTCCACCTGCATGTGTTGCTACACAGCTTGTGCTAAAAGGGATGCACCACAAAAAGCTCATTCACATTAGCATTAAAATAGTGGACTAAAACGCTTCGTGGTTGTTTTAAATCTACACTTGTTGAGTTACAATACATAGTTCCTTGTTTTTTATGCATAGTTTGCACGTAAACCTCAGCTGGGAATGCATTCACAGATTGAAGCCTCTTTCTGAAGAAGTGCTCACTATTTGGCAAAGTGCTTTTCATTGTGAAGAGAGTTCACTGTCACCCTCCCATGCTCGTATCTCAAGTTGGCACTCACAAGTCAAAGCAAAATATCAGCCAAACAACAGCTCTGCAACTCTTACTCAAGACACCAGTGTATATGTGCGCTTCAGACGCCCACCACGAGATGGCAGCAGCTACCTTCATAGCATTCGGCCACCATATGCTCACGTTGGTTTCCTGGCAGTTGAAGGGGAATCAAATGTTTGCACTGTGCTATGGCCGTCACTGACCGTGCTGCAGCTCAAACCAAACCAGACATGGACGCTGATCCTTCTACAACCTTGTGTTACTCACAAGCGGTGTATTTGGGGTGGTGGGGGAATTTGATTTTCACTGTAATAGGGGTCCTGTGAGTGGAACTAATCTGGCACTTGGAAGGCAGATGGAAATGGAGGAAGGGGGGTGTGATGTGAGGGACAGGTGGAGACATGGAAAGTCAATGAGGAATGACGACGGTTAAACTTAAGACATTAGCGCATGCCTTCTTTCTTTATGCTAAGGGAGTTGATGAGCTGGAACTATATGGACGAAATAACCACAGACCGCATTTGTTTACCGTTTACTGTCACAACAGAATCTGCTGTGATGCATCTAATGGTATGAGCATCTTTCGAGATTCGGCAAACTTATTGGTCAAGTTAAAACACGTAAAAAGACAATAGACGCAATTTTATGCATTTATTCATGTCGCTATTCCAATCGGATTCAAAGGCTCAAGGCTGAGTCAGCAATTGAATAGTCAAAAATACTCTAGAATTTATGGTTAATTGTTTTTTTTTTTAAATCTCCTTCAGGTTTTCGCTTCAAGTGTACCATCCTTCCTTAAAAATGCCACAAAATGTTTTTGAAAAGTGCATTTTTGTGAATTTCTCAAGTTATTCATACACCCCCACAAAAAAAAAAGGCTTGTGAGGTCAAAAATTTGCAACAAGAAACCACCAACGTGTTTCCCCAAAGGTTTTATAACCATCCTGTTCACACATTCTTTTTTCTTTTTACACAGCCAGAGAAACAAAAAAAAACATTGAAACAATAAACTCCCAAACCTTTTGTACAGAAAAAAAAAATCAATCTAGATGAAGAAAATGTCTCTTATATTAGTCCACGTCTTAGGCCTTTGCCCTTTCCGTTTAAATGGGGAGGGGCCCACAAGCGTGCGCACGTGTTGTGTCGAGATCACGTTGAGACTCTGCATGTGGTATTGAATGTTCATCAAACCATTTGACTGGATGGTTTAATCTGTTCTGTATGGACTTGAAACCAGAAACTCTGGGCCATTTTACAGGTAATCCAGTATTATCTGTGTAGGGTGTGTGTCTGTGTGTATTCAAACCTGTAACTTTTGTAGTCAGATCTAAATCTGTTTGTTTGTGTGTGTGTGTGTGTGTGTGTGTGTGTGTGTGTGTGTGTTTGTGTGCGCTCGTTTTAAAGAGTCTCGTTAATTAAGCCAGCCCGAATCCCTCAGAACACTCCTGGATGGCCAGCAGCAGCATGTGTCTCAACTTCTCGTAACTCTCGTAGGCAGGGAGGTCCAGCTGGTTGAAACTACGAGCACAGAACGCACGCCATTATTTTCACATCCACATTTGTGGAGATGGCAGGCATCTTCATTTGTCAGATGCAACAGGTTTGTTTACCAAGTGTGAGCGGAGGGCAGGCGGTCAGTGGAGCGATCGTCGCGGTGGATTTGGAACTTCTGGATGCCGTTCATGCCCTCCAGAGCAGCGAAACCCTGAAGGGGAACTTTGGACGTGCCAGTGACAAACTGTAAGAACTTGGCTCGGTCCGCTTGGTCGAAGGAACGCAAGGCCCTCCAGAACCACTGGATCTTTTGGAAAAATACAAACAAGCGACTTCACATGTGGTTTACGTCCTAACGGCATCAAGATGATCAGCCTGCACCCATTTCAAGTACCTGGATGGAGCTGGACTGGTACTTGTGGTACTCAGTGTTGGCCTTGAGGTCATCAATATCGATGGTGGGCAGGCCAGAGATGAGCAGCTCCAGCTCCTGCTCGGTGAAGATGGAGATCAGCCTCTTGGGGATGATCTCATAGAAGCCTTCCAGGAAAGCGGCCAGCTGCTTGCGGATCGCACCTGCGCCACATTGACATCCAAAGGCTGATTAACACCAATAACAGAATGTTCCATCACTTGTCAGACCACACATGCGCTTTGACCACAAGGGTTGGGCGACACTGGGCTCCATAATATTAAAGGAGCGAGTGAAACATGATTAATAAGTTATTGCAGCATTGCATGAAGCACATTTCCTTTGTTCAATCAACATAAAACAAAACTTCAAAGCATTAGCATTTTGTGTCACCCCATTACGAATGAAGTGCTTTTGATGGGTAACGGGTCAGTGCGAAGGCGCAGTGGATGTATACCAGCGATGAGAGTGCCTGCAAGTGCGCAGCAAATGATCGTCACCTGATCAGTCACAGCTTCTTTCGGTCTCTATAATTGGTTGTTTATTCTTGGGAGTGCAGCATTTGGCCAAAGTATTAAAGAGAAAGCAGGAAGTGATTATGCTGAAAATTGCTAACTCCTCCCCTTTTCAAAAAACCCATTTCAGGCTCGAGGTGAATATGGAAAATCTTACCACCTACAGGTCTTATTTTATTGCATTTTTGCCAATGAGGTTACTCATGAAAAAATGTACATGAAGCACACTTACCTGTCATCTTCATCTGGCAAACCAGGTGCACATATTCTTTTTTGTTTTCTTCTGTGACCAGAATGTTTGCGCCATTTGGCTTGAGGTCTCTCACTTCGCAAACACCAAACTCTTGGACCTAAACATACAAAGAGCAGGAAAGTCTTCACATCGACTTGCCTCCCAGTATTTCAAGTGGACTTCTGTGAGTCAACCCCAAAGAGCTTTTCAAGCAACTCCAAGGCAGCACTCGTGTTTAGGCTCCCGAGAGCCCAACTTCGGCATCACAACCCACTTTCCGCTTGAAATAACTAACAATTCGAGACCTGGCACCAACCTCTGTGCTGAATGTGAGTTCATAGCCTAACGTGGACACGTCATTCTCCAACAAGTACACCAAACCCTGGAAGAAGGGGTAGTCCTCGCTCTCCATGTCAGTGTACCTAGGATCAGAAGAACAATTTAATCGCGAGCAATGAAATTATTGATTTGCTCTTTGATCGGAATCGGTGCCCCGTCACCATTACCTGACACTCTTGCCCAAGATGTGCTTGTAGAAGCTACGCGTGAAGTAGCACTCCAATAACCGGTTATCATAAACGGCTTTGGCCACCACCCGGCCCACAAACTTGAAGTAGCTCAGGTGGTTGGGGTTGCAGTGGGACGAGGGATTGATGGTGTAGGTGACCCTATCTCCGGGCGACGTGCGGAACAGAGCGTACATGGGGTTAAACATCTCTCGAGAGATGATCATATACCATTCCCTCAGAAGGCCGCCGGCATCCTGGCCCTCTTCTCCTTCAAAGACAATGTACCTGCAACACAAAGAGTTCACATGCTTCTGGATGGAGCAGACTCAGGTTGTTGTTGTTGTTTCAGTAATGGAAGCATACAGCCTGTTCTTCATGTCCTCTGGGCTCTTGCGATGCAGCTCTCTGTACGAGTCCTCAAACACATGATCTCTTCTCACATGCACTGCCATGTCCTCTTTCCTCAGACCTTCATCAAGGCGTTCAAGCTCCTGGCGGAAATACCTGCGTGATGAACGACAGGCCAGCGACTTGAGAATTGCCAACTTAACGTAGGTCAAACAAGGTCAAAATAATCTCGCTTACTTCCGCTTCACGTCAAAGTCCAGGATACGTATGTAATCAACCAAGACAGCAAAGGGTCCATCAGCCAAATGGGTGGTGGACTGGCGCAGGATCTGGTTGAGTACTGTGCGGTGAGTTTCTACAAACAAAGACAATTAAAGCTCAGACTGTCAGACACGATGTGCAAAGCCTTTTCACTCTCCTTCACAATTAAGTGACCTATTGCTGATGTAACTCTGCTTGCATAATTTTTTTCCCCTCCCACTTTGGAAGGGGGAAAACAATAGTAAATAAAGGTGGTCAATGCTCATTGTTCAAATATTGTAATTTATCCTTCAAGAGTATCCACATTATACAAACAAAAACAATTCTTGAATTCAGAATAGCATCACCAGGAGAGGACCTCTGTTGTGTGCCATGTTGCGCTGCAATTGGCTTAGCTGAAAATCAATGAGAACGGCAGCATATTAAGTATTTCCGGGGCAAAAGTGTGGCATGCTACGTGTTTCTGAAAGCTACTGGGACGCCCTCTAGAGGACAAATACCCCCATTCTTTCAATGTTTGTTAACATGGGTTTGTGTACCTAAGTGGAGTCAATAGTCCAGAACTGGTGCTTTTCTGTCTTTTGATGAAGAAATCGAAGAAGAAAATGAATGCTTTCTATTCCATTTGATTCAATCTCTGTTTGCGTGGTTGGTTTTGTGCTCTACAAACAAAGTTGATATGATCGTGTCAAAAGAGGTCATGCAAGTCCACGTACACACGGACCTGCAGGTGCTGTGAACCAGCAAATGGCTCATTACATCAGATATGTTCGTTTGATCGCTTTGCAGAAACATCGATAAGTGGAACAATTATAAAGGCAAAATTTCATTTAACGGAACTTGATGTCACTCCAGGAGACAGCAAGTATATTACGTCAATGCTTTTGCTATACATTAAGCTAGTTTAGCGACCGGAGGTTAGCACAGTGCCATACAACAAACACAGAAACGGTGTGTGCATAGAGTCCATTCTGGCTCACCGGCAAATCGAAGAAACTTCTGGGTGTCTGGTGGCAAGTTTGAAGAGATGTGCATGGAGGAAGGTTCCCGGGAGAAGAACGGGTCAAGGGAAGAGGGTGTTGCGGGTGTGAGCGGCGCTGGGGACAGTGGCGGCGGTTCATCCTTGATGTGAGAAAGCTGGCTCTCCCGAGTGTCCCGAACAGGGGGTTTGCTCTCTCGCTCGGTGGCGTGTACAAGGAAGAACGCCTCCACAGCAGGCTGCAGAACTGAGGGACATGGAAGTGTCACAATGGAAATCAAATGCAACAAATGGCATTGCAGAAACAAGATAGCAGGGTTGCTGCCAAATCTGAGCCATTTTAGGTCACTTTGACCGATGTTATCACAAAACCGGGAAATAATTTTCATTATTCCAGATTGAGACCCTTACGGTAACAGACAGCATCGGAAGGAGTTGAGCAAATACCTCGTTCCAAACAAACTCCTCCCATCTTCCCGCGGAAAACAATGTCATTGTTTTCATAAGGTCATAAAGAGTAAATACCTGAGCCCATTTGAAAACCAATTTTTCACCAAAACAGCAGCCGAGTCAACCAATGAGGAGCTTGTCCGCAAAATAAAATCAGTTACTTTGCTTTTTTTAAACAAGTCATCGACATTCAGTCCCGCATGTTTCATCCCCTCTCCTGTCAAGTGGCGGGCGCACGCGCACAAGCACACACACAAGCATACAGCATGAACAGTGTCTGTGGACAGCAAGAAGGAATTCGCATGCTCAAAGCTAAGTTTTATGATATCTGTTACTCCTGTTGAGTGGCACAAATGGAATTATTTGCAAACCCTGATGTCACGGCGATGTCTTGTCAGATCATTTTGGATTGAAACAAGATGAATACAGAGAGCCAACAAAACACTTGTAGTATATGTATTTGAAGAAAGTCGTAATGCAGCAACTTCAAAATCTATTTAAAGCACAACCACCCCACCCAATTTCTTTAAAACATGGCAGAATATGGAGGATTGACTATTTCCAACACCTTGCAATTATAATGCTTCCCAGATAGCAATACTGCCTATGCAGCCAAGCATCAGTGTTGAGAAACGGCATTCAGAGAAATGCTTCACAATTTTTTATGAGCAGTACCAAAGTTGTCGCATTAGTTCTGCCCAGTATATTCTCCAGTTTGACAAACACAGGCACGCTCAGAGGTTTACATAATCTGGCAGCATTTGTAAAATCTGTACCATTGTTTAAATACTGTTATTGGTAAAATATTTCTTCTTAATGGGATTAAAATTAAACTAAGGCATTTCAAAAGAGCCCAATTAAATGAAGCCCCCACCGCTCAAAAAAAAAAAGATGCAATGGTCCACATTCTGTTCTATTACTTCCAAGAGGAAAACTTAGCCTCGAGTGAAACTCTTGTGACACTTTGATATACCTGGTTAATATGTTACTGTAAAAAGGCGTTTTGTGTAAAAAGAACAGGATAGACATCTTGTCCAATGAAGATTCCTCCTACCCAATACAGCATGCTGGTCATGGGACTCTTCCAGCTCTTTCAAGCATTCCCCGAGCATGTCCCACAGCTCATCCAGCAGGAGCTGTTCGCTGAGCAGAGGGAGGTCAGGGACTTTCTCTTCACTCTCGGACTGGCCATTTGCTTCTTCATCTGAGGAAAAACATTTCCAAAAAAAGTTAGCCAATGCATTCACTGCATGAATAGCTGGCCAGAAACAACTCCAATTAATACATCTGAATTATTAAGGCAATCTGTTCCTGTAAGTATAAAAGTGTAAACTGAGCCTTTGATTAATGTCCTTGTTCTTATTATGATAGAGGGGTTTGTGTGTCGCAATGATACCAGGAGGTAAGCAGTTCGCGTCATTATGCCCCAGGTGGGGCAGGGTGATCGGCAGGCAGCAGGAGCTGCAGTAAACACCACCGATCCCCGATCAGACCCTGATTGATGTTCTGTTATTCGACTTCAGAGTCCGTCATGGATTATGAGCGTCTGCTAGCAACGCCTGCCAGAATCCCCATGTCAACTCCCACTTCCGGGAGAACTTCACCCACATTCTAGGGGAAGCAGGGATCAAGTTCTGCACGTCCATTTTTGAGGCGGCCGACCACAGCTTTGACCGTTATGAGGAAGCAGAACAGACCAGGGAAAAGTGCGGCCTGGGGGGTACATCCTACCCTCAGCTGTGGTCATGAGCTGTGAGTCGTGACCAAATGAACAAGATACCAGATACAAGCGCCTTAAATGAATTTCAGTTGCAGTGTCTCCAAGCTGTCCCTTTGAGAAACTCCATTTGGGAAGGGCTCAGAGAAGAGGCGCTGCTTCTACGCATTGAGAGGCGCAAGATGGGGAGACTTGGGCATCTAATTAGGATATTTGCAAGCCTCCCTGTTTAGGTTTTATAGTGATTTTCCACTGGGATGAGGCCCAGGGATGACTCAGGACACATAGACTGTCTGCCAGCTGGCCTGGGAACACCTTGGGATCCCTGCAAAAGCGCTGGATGAAGACGATCCGTAGAAGGAAGTCTGGCCTTGCCTCCTAAAGCTACTGCCCCTATGATCTGACACCAAATAAGCAAAAGAAAATCGGTGGATGGAGATTTGTTATGAATATGGGATGATAAATCCATGTTGCTAAAAAAAATATGAATACAAGTCAATTTCAATGTGTCCATGTATAGCTGGCAAAACATCAAAATAAAGAAACGCAATACACACGTTTGTACATTTTGTTGGCATCACAGAGATTTATTCTCAAATGATAAACTAAGAAATTTTCTGCCCCATATAAATCAATAAATACACAAGAGTCCTCGGAAGACTTCCAACATTTTAAGGTGTGAATAACTCACCCAGAGTTGAAGAGTCCAGCTCCAAAGATGGCTGGTCAACATCCATCGGCATGTCATCTCGTTGAGCTCCCTGGGCCTCTGAGACCGTCTGCATTTCGGACTGTAGCCACCCAACGAGGGACGGCCAGTGACACGGGATAGGAAACAGGGAAAATAATTATCATTATATTTTAGCTATTAATTTTGACTGATCCACATTGCCATGCATCGGGACATTCCAATTGAACGGTAAAGTCACTGGGGCTTGAGCAGATCTGGGGAAAGAATGAAGCAACTTCAGCCAGCCGCCAGTGCTGATGACAAACGGGGAGTTGAGTTTGGAGCAGGCACATTCACAGCTTTCACAAACAATTATTCTGAGACAGCATATATAACAGATTACTGGCACATCCATTTTTAACTCATAAAACAGGCGCAAGTTGCAAACAAGACATTTTGATGTTAATGTCGACAATTTTTTTTTTTTCATCTGAATGGCTTAGCTTTTGATTTTGCAAAACGCAAACAAACAGCATGAAAATCCCAACTTGGCTAAAAGAATGTCAGTGGCCCACAGCAATTGAGTCAAATCTACGACCTCACGATAAATATTCAAATGTGCGCCCAGTGGGTGAGTGTGCAGATCTGTCTGCTGTCAACGCGGCCCATGCTAACCGTGGCAGCAGCAGCTGTGCCAGCAGGGGGGGCAGCACCAGCGGGGGCATGAGATGCTGCGACTGATGATCCGGCGGTGACGGCGGCCGAGGCGGAAGTGGGTGGTGGTGCCTGTGTGAGCCGGCGGGCCCGCTGACCCTCTCTCACCATCTGGATGATGGCATCAGCCTCTGCCTCCAGTTGACGGACGGCAGCCTGAATGCTGCTGGCTGAGCCCAGGCTGGATGAGCCTGGCCGTTGAGCGAGAGCGCGGGTTTATCACTCCATACCTCATCTGCACAATGGCTTCTATGCTGGATAAATCTCTCACCTATTCGCCCAGTCTGTTTAGCTTTCTTGTTGGCACGGCGTGTGTCCTCACGTAGCTGGATAATGACCTGCAACACTCGCAGGAAAAATTTCTGTGTCGATGTCTTGGAGGTTAGTGAGCTCATACAGGGGAGTTGCAGTTCTCGTCCGCCAAGCGTGCGCTTCTGTGCAGCCACAATCACAACACTTTCCGCTCCATCAAACCTGTGCCCCAAATAACAAAACACAGTTAAGATCAAGGCAATTTCAGAGTCAACAAATGAGAAAGTATCACTGAGTGTCCAAAGTTGTCATGGTCTTACCTGCTGGTCATTTTGCCCTTCAGTCTGGCAGAGATGGAAGAGTCATCAGGGGGTGCATCGGGGGAATGAGAATCTGCATGTGCTCGTCTCTGCTGCTCCAAGTTGTACTCTCGAAGTTCAGCCAATAGTGTACCTGAAAGGGAGGCAATTTTAAAATGCTTAAGGAAAGCTTATGAGGCTTTGCTAAGCAAACAAACCAATCGATAGAAAATAAAGGGTATGTGTCAGCGTAACACTGACCAATCTGTTTGCAAAGGGTATAACCAAGGTGTCTTGCTCCACTGAGCAGCAGTCTGAGCACAGTGTCTCTGGTGGAACCGTCTCCTCTGGATAACTGAAGTAAAATATTAGCTGCGTCTTCCAGACCCTCCTCTGAGCACGAATGAGAAGTCAACACCTTACAGAAAGTATAGAGTGTGAAATTAAAACAAAAACCAAAAAAAAAAAAAAAAAACAAAAAAAAAACCACAATAACAAAATAATAATACCCAAATAAGGACATATTAGTCCACAAGGCAACTTCGGAAGTGCAATTTTAACAAACCACTCGCACAACATTTTCTCATACCTCCACTGACAGCTGAAGCTGTTTCTCTGTAAGTCCAGCCGTAGCAATCTTGTCACTTTCCATGTTAATCGAAGAGCTCTTGGTTTTTGCTGTTTTAACAGAATCAATGATCATCATTTATTACCACCATTCTCAAGAGATGACAGAGATTTCTAATGCTTTCCCTGGTGTTTCTACCTGTGAAAACTGCTCCAGTGGATGTTGGTAATGGTGTGGAAGTTGCAAACATTAACAGACTCGTCCCTGAGGAGGTGCTCTGGGTCCCAGATGCCCCAGAGGCCACTGTGCCCACTGCAGCGGGCTGGATGTTTGATGCTGCTGTGCCCTGTGTAGTGACCGAGGCGGTCGATCCTGAGCTAATTATCGGATTAGGGTTGGCTGACTGTGGAGTAGCGTGGCCAGCAGGTACCTCTGTGGCCTTGATGTCAGGCAGGGCAATGGATATGAGGGAGAGCAGACGCAGCAGCTTTTCAGTGAGCAAGGAGCTTCGCCTGATTACAGGATGGGACAGCATGTTCATCAACTGACCAAGAGGGGAGGTTTCTAGGCTTAACTGGAGTCCCTCAGCCTCTGCGTTGCCCCCTAAAGGCACGGTCTTCATTGAGGCTTTTCCTTTGCGACTGACATTCATGTTGTCCAGCTTTACAAGCAGATCCCAAAAATCAGTGGAAATTCCCAGAGACTGGGGTGTGATGTTTGAGGAGCCAAAAGCGTTCTGTGCACTGGAAGCATTGGCGTTGGGGTTGTTTTGAGCCTGGGAACTAGACCTCAACCCTCCACCCATACCACCTACGCCTGAGGAGCTTGAACAAAGACGGGCCTCGAGGTCAGAGGATGACACGGAGAGATCCTTACAACGCTGCTGGGTGAAGTGGCTGGGGAACACCTGTAGTGACAGAACAGAAAAAAAGTAATTCAATAAGTATGCCTTGACTGACACAAATCTTTCCTGAAAGACATTAATGAAGCTTTACATGTAAATAAGCCAGCTTGCAGCCGTTTCCATCTGATGTACCGTGGCGGGTTGATGCAACATTTTGAATACAAATACAAAAAAAAAAAAAAAAAAAAAAACATTTGCAGGAGGACCACTGACACATTTTGTGAGACTTTAGAAATCTCAAAAATAAAGTCTGATGTGTGTCGCAAGTTTCATGAGTTTTTGCCCAAGTTTAGACTCGAGTAAATTACTTATTAAAGTGCGAGAGAATTTGAACATTGCCCAATTGAACACTTTTGTATAGTATATCAAGACCACAAAGCACATTGAGATAGTGATACATGACTGACCTTTGCTAGTTGGATGAGAGTGTCTAGCACATGTCGACAGACTACAGGCGCAGCTTGCGGGTGGATGTGTACTGTGGAGCCTCCGCCTCCCGCACATGTGACCCCTGCAGCAGCTCCTGACACACCACCTCCCAGGGTTCCAGATGCTGAGGAACCAGTAGCTGAGTGGCGGTCAGCATGTTTTCTACCAGATACCCGTTGGATCTGGAAAATGTTAGTCCGACAGCCCAAGGCCGCATCCATGGACACAGAGAGCCAAGAAAGCTGGCTGGAACTACGAGACTCCACTCTGTTTAGTAGCTCGAGGGAGGACGAAGAGCAGAGGGAGGAGGTAGCTGAACCTTTTGCCCCGCATCCTCCATGGGAGCTCCTTTTCCCACGAGAATCTTCAAGGCGTGAGGTCTCCACACACACCTCGCTCTCACTACTGCGTTGGAGGATAGACAACAGACTGCGAATGACCCACCCACGTGTCTGAGAGTGGTAGCAAAGATTCCTGAGCACACGGTGTAGACGGCTGGTGTTGAGCTTCGGTTCATCCACAAATAGCAACACCAGCAGACAGGACAAGGCCTCGTGATCCAGCAGCAAACGGCCACGCAAACGCAGCAAAGAATCCACACTGGAACTGGATGGTCTGAGGAAATATTAAGATTAGCGACCAGCATCTAAGCCACATTTGTTCTTCCATTGAAAAGTAAAAATTCATCATCAGAAATGTGTCTATTGTACCTATGGTTAGAGCCACCACCCATCTGAAATGTGCCTCCTCTCTGCACAGCCAGTCGAGTGTACTGGACGCCACGATTGCTCCCTAAGCGACTGGTGAATGCTGGCGAGCGCAGGATGGCTGAGAGCGCCGATGTTGAACTGTGACCAAAGAGCCTCTCATGCATCAGTTGCCTTTGCCGTGCCTCTTGCTCTCGGCGCAGGGCTGCCGCTTCAGCTGCGATGTCAGGTGGCATTACAGCCAACACGCTGTCCTCCATGTCTTCGAGCACACTACGTCGCAGCTCAGAGGGCAGCGTCTGGATGAAGGTAACTGGGTCCAGAGGTGTATCTCCCTGTGTGGGTTGTTGGGAAACCTCCCTGCGCTGCTGCTCGGCTCGTTGCTGGGCAAGGACCTAAAATGATCAATGGCAAACTTAGTTTAACTCCTTTTTCTATAAAATCACATTGTCACTCCTATTTCATATCCTTTTAAGTTTTGTTATCCAGTAATTTCTCACCTCCTCCTGTATGGCAGGTGGCAACGCAGCCAGGAACTCAGGGCTAACCTCCGTAACCCCAGGCCCTGTGAGTACAGGCGCAGTAGAAGGCGGCAGGCTGGTAGCAGCAGCTGAGCGTGATGGTGGTCTTATTCCCAATTGATTTTGAAGCACTTCTCTTCGAATGTCCTCAGGAAGAGCTGCCAGGAAAGATGGATCAACACCCTCAGGAAGACTGATTCCTGCAAAGGCAAAGAGAACACCAGAGCAACTTTGAAACTTCACAACTATGATGTCATGTGTTGTGGGATCAGTAGTCTGCATGTGCATATTGGGGGGGAATAACCACCTGTACCTGCAAGTGGGTCTTCTTCCTCATTGCTTGTGGATGGGAGAGGATCTTGGATAGCCTGGGATTGGCTGTCAGCACTGTCACTCCTGATTATTGCTTCAACAGCAGATGAAACCGAAGTGGAGCTAATCAAATGAAGACAGTTTCTTAAGAAACATATTTTTTAAATCAACAGAGATGGAACATTTGTAAACAAACAAACAACAACAAAAAACATACTCTGACTCTGCATTGGTCTGCCTGTTGGTCAATTCACTCTCCCCACCGCCAGACAGGTCCTGAGACACAAGGACAGTCTGGGCAGGGTTGGAAACAGCTTCATCTTGTGTGGCAGAAGCAGGGCTGCTGGTGTCCATTGGTGACCCTTCCAATCGTGACACACCCACTACAGGAGGTTCTGAGGTCTCCACCATATCCGGGCTTGAGGCTGAGGGAGTTTGCCAACGGTAAGAGATTGTCATAAAGTATTCTATTCACTGTCAACCTGAGTTGAGATTGTGTTCTGAAAACTTGACTGGTTACAACTAAGCACTGTTGATTTAAATTATGAATGCACCCTTACTCATGGATAATTTGTAAGAGAGTTAGTCTACCTTCCCTGCCTTCTTCCAACAATTCTCCACCACCACCACCACCTCCTACGGCTCTCTCACCGATTGTGGGTGCTGGGGACATTTCCATCTGAGATGCTTCTGCTTCACTACTAGGCCTGTCACTTGCAGACAAGGGCGGCAGGCCTGCCAGAGCCGCCAATGAGCCGGCATGCGACTCGGCCAACAGCAGGCCAGCTATCGGTTGGTGGACCTGTTGATTAATTGCAGTTTCCAAGGAAACTAGGGCCTGTTCATGGGGAGCTGGGGTAGTGGGAGTAACCTCTCCAGAAGGGGGAGCAGTGAGGAAGCCTTCTGACAGTCTGGGTGGGTCCAGACAAGATACTGCACCTCCTTGAGACTGCTCACCCTCTAAAAAAAAAAAAAGACAAAAATATGGGAAATCACAGTGTGTTTAGATATTAACATAAGAAAAAATAAATTTTATATATATATATATATATATATATATATATATACACACACACACACACACACACACACACACACACACACACACACACACAATTCAACAGTGAGGAAAATTAGATGAAAAAGGTGACAAAACACACAATAGGACCGCTGACTAATATTTCTGATATTCTGGAGAGTGACATTAGCACAAAAAAAAAAAAAAACATGGCTACCTTCTGTCGCACAGCCTTTGAAGCCATTACAACTGTTACTTAGAAATTAAAAAAATACTTTGGTAAGTTCTAAATATCAGTTCATCACAAACTGAGCCCATTCAGAACAAACAAGAAATCTGATTCTGGTGCATTTTCATGTACAACACTGTTGTCCAAGACTAAATGAGGAACACTTTTGCTATTCATTGACTATTTTGTGAAGTACATTTTTGTAAGTTACTTCCAGGCACTTGAGGCAAAGGTTTTATTAAACAAAAATATGACAATCTAACAAATGAGCAAATTGTTTCCTTTTTTTTTACTTAATCTTTTTTTTTAAATTCACATCGTGCATAGCAGCAAACTATTAGCTTGTCTAGAAACATTTTCAGTGGGGCTATTTCAAGAACAAATGTAAGTTTCACTTTGAAGTTAGATTTTCTGAATGAGCTGTGTGGTCCTTTGGCAAAGCTGTTTTTAAAAATCTACTGTATTCTCATTTGGACATTTATTGTGCAGATCAAAAGTTAAAATCAAATAAGAAATGTTAGTGAAAATAAAACATTACTGGTATTATATTTATTAACTTATATTTAATATATTATATGAATATACTTTGAACCTAGTAGGCGACATCCAAGAAGAGTTGACAATGTTATAGCTGCAAATGATGGACCGACTTCGTATTGAACCCGATGGATTAATAATGGGATGTCAAATTCATATGTGAGTCAAGGAAGGTGAGCGAATACCTTTAGTAATATAGAGCATTTTGACTCTCTCTTTCTTGAATAAATGTACCATCACAAGCCACAACATGCTGACCACTTGCACAACGTAAGTGTTGCATCAATTATACTGTCTTTAGAAATGTAATTATTTTTATCAAAACTGAAGTGAACTGCATCACACAGAGCTTTTCCTAACATTTCTTAAATCTCCTGAGTAACTATATTAGAGGTCACCAAAATAGTAACTGACAGCTCTCATAATGAGAGTCAAAGTCCCCATAATGACCCTGGAAAGGGTTCCGAAGCCAACTTGTGTCAGAGAGCAGCCATCATGCTTTCTTTGTAGATGGCCCAAATGGTTTCACATTCAATTTTAGGCGAAAGTTTCATCTAACACATAAATACAGGAGGAATATCAACACGTCAAATAATTCTACTGAGGAAGGCAGTAAGTTGTATAGTTATCTCCTGAACGGGGTGTACAATCCTGTTCCCCAACAACAACACAACTTACTACCTCACCACAGCACAACCAGCTTCAAAATAATGAGATGCATGTATTCAGAGAGCAGATCTTTTCCTGCACATGATATGGCCAAGATGTTGTGGCGCTGCCCTAAGAAAGACAGTAGACTGTATAGTTATCTCCCAGATCTGGTGTGATCCTAAAACTATACAAACTACTACCTCATCCCAGAGCACGCATTGCTGACTCCTGATGCCTTGTGATTTCTTTCAGATGGAACCATTTCAATCAAAAGAAAAAATTGTGAAACCTTTTCAACAAGTCAGTACCTGCAGTGTTTTCTGCGCCATTAATTGTCCCCAATCCAGAACCCTACAGACACGAAAGCAGAAAACAAAGAAAACGTGACTGCTTGTTGTTGCAAATTAATCAAGTCATGTCCGGATGTGTATTATAAATTCAGCAATGCATTGCAATGTGCAAACCTACCTGCAAGCTCTGTTCCCGGGTCTGCTCTGCTCCAGAGGCCCTCCGCTCGTTTTGCTTGGTCTCTTCCTCCTCAGCCAGCTGGCGCCTCCGCTTCTCCCTCCGCTCTTCTAACTCCTCATCTCGCAGACCTTCCAGATGCTGCAGGATTGGCACCTTCACAACTGAAAACAAGACATATAACCACTTCATTTTGGTTGATGCTATTATTTAAAGACTATGCCCAAATGCATAGTCTTCAATCGTCGTCTAATCATCGACAAATTCCAACATAAAATTATGCATCCCTCATCTTTATCAAGTTATTAAGAGCATCGGTCTCCGATTCTTGTCTGTTCGCCATCGCAAATACACTCCAGAACATTTGCAGACGAGTAATTCTATTTCAGGATCAGTCTGGGTCTCAAGAGCACTTTCTAAATGGTCTTTGTCTTATCTCTGAACCGAATGCATTTTTACTCGGTCTTGTCCTGGTCTCGGACAGGGCGAACTCAGGATTTTTGACCAAGACCAGTCAAGACCAGGCTACTGTGATCAGTGAGAAACAGGAGAATGCAGGTGCTGCACTGCCTTCCCAGTGTTGCCTGTAGTGCCATAGAGAGTGGATGAAGACAACCAGAGACACCAAGCACCAGAAAAATTGTATACAATGTAAGGTTTGCTTCATTGTACTATTTAGCTGAATTTGTTGTTGTTGCAAATGTAATAGGGGAAAAAAGAAGATAGTGGTCATTTTGATCAGTTTTATTTTTTTCCCTTTGATATATACAGTCATGGTCTTGTCTCGGTCTCGACATTCAAAAGTCGTGGATCTTGTCTTGGTCTCACTACTCCAGTCTCGATAATGTCTTGGCCTTGGTTGGTGTGGTCTTGTCCACAACACGAATGGTGACACAGCTTTCAATGCAGCAGCATGCTGAATCATGTAAGCATCATCACTTCAACATTTTTAATATTTACCTGCGACACAATCGTGCATGCTTTCAGCATCCAGCACTTTACACTCATCCGTCCATCTCGTTAAGGCGGTAGGAATGCTTGAGAGGGTGCCTAGGCAGAAACAAAAATCCAACATGAAACAGTTACAGTAACTTCTTAACGAAAAGACCATACAACAACAACAACAAAAAAAGCTTGAGTGATCTCACCCGCTTGACCCCCCGTGCTGCTCTGCTCATGGAAGAAGTCGTCAAATTCGTCATCGGAACGAGCAATGATGTGGACATCCTCATTTCCGACCAAAAGACGAGCTCGACCACGAGATTGCAGAGGCAGAGAGCTGGACAGCTGTAAAATGTCTGCAGCAGCACTGGGGCCCAGCAATCTACATGTGGTTAAGGAGCGGAAATGTTGACAAACTAGAATACTGCTGCTCTGGAAGAGCTCAAACATCAATAAACAACTCAACTCTTACCTCTGCAGGATTAGTGGAGGGTTGGGCTGGCGGTTTCCAGGGTAGTGGACGTGGATGGTGTGCCCACTGTTGGCAGTGAGCTGCCTAAGCGTCCGCTGGCTGCGGCCCATGCCTTGTGCCAGGCGGCTGCTTGTGCCTGCTACGCCTAGGGTGAGGGAACCGTGGTCAGCGTGGCGCACCATAAGCGGGTGGGAGCTCGGGATGTTGCCTGGCGATGGAGGGATGTCAGCTGATGGAAGAAGAGAAAATGTAGGTAGACATTAGGGAACAGATCTGCAATATAGTTTAAGCATTTGTGTTAATGACGTTTCCCATGTCTATGTTAGCAACTAACCATTTCTGATTCAAATATTACAAGTGAAAACAGGTCTGTCTCCTAACCATTGTTGGAGAACATGTTGTCAAACTCGATGATGAGGTCATCATCTCTGTCAAATCTTTCAAAGCGGATATGAGGCGCAGCATTGATGTCAGGGAAATCCTCATCCAACTCCATCTCTGAACCTTCGTCATCATCATCCTCATCTCCTTCCTCATCATCCTTGAGAGCAAGTGGCAGTCATAAGTTTATTTACAAATAACACTATTTGAGTCAACACTTTATAAAGCCATATATTGCTCCAAACCGGATCCTCTTCCTCGTCCTCCTCCTCTTCCTCCTCTTCATCCTGGCTGTCATCATCATCATTGCTGCCACTAGAGTCTTCCTCTTGTGTGTGCTCCTCATCCTCTGGTTCCAGGATATTCATAGAATCTAATCATAGAGGCGAATTGTAACCAGAGCACATTTTACAGTGTGCTAATTATTAAAACAGTCTTCTCCCCACACTCACCTTCTCGGTTTGCCTGAAGAGTGGATGCCTGGCTAATATTGGAGGGGGCCTCTTCCATCAGCACATCTTCTTGAGATTCATCCTCAGCACTTTGCCCGACTGAAATACAACATGAAAATCGGGAAAGAATTCTTTGCTTTCTGATCATTTCACCCGCACAAATAAATGCGGACCTCTCATTAAGGCTTACCTATGATTGTACTATTGACAGTACCGCCATCTCTCTCGAGTAGCTCATCAATCAGATCCACCAACTCATTCTCCACCTTCATGCATATGTCAATATCGTCATGGCATGGGCAGCAACTCCATGTTGTTTACATGATGCAGTGAAATCTAAGTAAATATCCTGTACAAAACAATGCTACTCACCTGCATAGCCTGCGTGCTGAGAACCTCTGGTTGACCAGCAATGACCACCGTATCACCCTCTGTTTCTCCATCCATCAAGTCACTGTCTGCTCCCTGCACCCTGTGGTTGCCCTCAACTGGTTCCGCTTCCCCAGATTCTCCTGTAAACAGATGCCAGAGACATCAGTAACATATCTTTCCAAATCTGGCAGGAATTCAATAATCAGCATCCTGTGGCGGGAGGGAGATAAAGCGATAGAGGGCACAAAAGCAGCAATTTAATCAGAACTGGATGATATTTGTTCCCAAAACTCAACTAGTGTATGTATTTTATGTGGGCAGCCTGTCACATATGTGACAGAGTTTAATCATAAGATAGTCTGCTGTGTCTTCTGTGAACCAAACCATCTTGTGTGCCAGGTTGAGTTCGGGGATACCTTGATCTTGCGTGTTGCTGTTGCTATCCCTTGCAGCACCCGCTGTGTCATGTTCGGTCTTGTTCTTGTTGGAACATCCTTTACTCCCAAACAAGTTGCTGGGCTGATTAACAATGCGAGACAGAGTCTCCAGAGGCTTAAGGGCAGCATTCACTGTGTTGGCCATGTTGGGGCTAAACAAGATCAAATGTAAATTATTAGGAATTGCTCAACCATACTTTACAGCAAATGGTGTACACAAAAATACCACCTAAACTTATACAAAGGCTTATTTGCTCTGAAAATCTTTAGGGTTTCCGCATTTTAATCCAAGTCACATTCAAGACTAATTCCATGTGACCAACTTCACAATGTTCCCAATTGCTACAGTACATAATGCACATCTCCCGACTACAAGCACATCTATTTTGTTGGTTCCGTGATTGTGATTTTTCCACAAGAGTCATTGTTTAATTTTATTTATTTCTCAATGTTAGTTTGTTTTGAGACTGGTTCAAAATCATAAAATCTTACTTATACATAAGTTGACCACCTCCATTGTTTCAACCACCAAAGTTGGTCAACACAAACATGTATGCCTCAAAACTATTATTAGTTTTTCAATACTCATAACCAATGCTCAGTGTTTCTGCACTTGGGCTGAACAATTATGGAAAATCACTTTTTTCGACCAGGACATTACAATTGCGATTCGATTCGATTTCTTTTTTCTCAAGATTTTTTTTCTAATGTATTTTTCATCAATTAATCTTTACTACAATAAACAAACAAACGAAAAATCTGGTGTTAACCAAGTGGATATTGAATTTCATGAAACTTGTACTTGTTGAGAGTGATGGCACAACACAAAATCTCAAACAAACGGAGCAGGGGCTTGGGAGCTATCACCCACCGAATTTTAATTAACGCATTTCCCGAATTATAAATCACCATTTTTTTTTCATGGTTTGGCTGGGGATGCGATTTATACTCGAGCGATTTACGTATGAAATTAATAACACATTATTATATCATCATTTCACTCATTATTTTCACATTAAACCGCAAGAGGGCGCTCGAGGCCTGTGTTGATAAGTCGACGATGAGTCCGAGGTAAGCGACTCAGAAGAGGAGCGCCGCATCTTCTACCTCCAGAGTTGGTGGTGTTGAAGATTTCATTGGCTTTAGTGATTTGGAGTGACATTGATAGTTTGGTAAACTTTTTAGCGTGTTATTTATGCTATAGTTATCTGAATACCTCTTAATATGTAACGTGAACATACCAGGCACATTCCCGGTTCGTTGTTTATGCGTCATGTAACGTTAGCATATCGTTCACTTATTCAACCTGTTGTTCTCCATTTTATTTTTATTTTAAATTGCCTTTCAAGATGACATGTCTGTTCTTGGTATTGGATTTTATCAAATACATTTCCCCTCAAAATGCGACATGTTTTTACCTTCTTTATTTTGCATTTGATGGTGGGTGCGAGTTATATTCCGGAGAGATTTATAATCCGGAAAATACGGTAGCTCAATTGATTGGTACATATTTTAGCAGCTTGACCTTTTCACCTAGGAGATGAAATTGACCTTGTGGATCAAACGGAAGCAACATTTGTTTGTGCGATAAATGACAATAAAATGCCGCCAAGGTGGTAAGAAGGTCAACTTCAAAATAAGAATCGTATACCTTGACAAATCCAAGCTGTGAGGCACACGGGCCAAGTCGCTGACCAGTCCTTTCTTAAGAAATAGCCGTATGATATTATTCATGCCATTGTGTTGCGTCTTGGCTGCTGCTGTGCTATAGAAACTGGACGTGGAGGGACATGATTCCATGATGGTGCTGATTATGCACATAACTGCCTGAAGCCTGTGGGAGACAGATTGGTAGGCGGACGTTTTCATCACCAATTTTTTAATACCATCAGAGTGCATTTGTAACAAATCGCGCTTACCTAGCATGTTTTTCAGCACCTTCTGTCATTCCTAAGGCTCGACTAAGGGCAGCCTTCACCTCATTAACCAAAGCAGCCTGAGCATCGGTGCCAGTGCCAGCGGCTGCTAGGCTAGCAAGGAAAAGACGGGCCAATGCTGGGGTGTCCTTGTCCTCTGAATTTTGGGTGTGAGGTAGCAAGTGGTCGAGCACAAAAGCTAACACACTGCAATCCTGTTGGAATAGACATGTAAGAAGTGAAGAGAAAACTTGGACTAAAAGGAAAGACACCACAAAGCAGAATTTTTTTTTTTTCACCCACCTCTTTAATAAGCTCTGACTGTCCTGCAGTGTAGCAGTAAGAGGCTATTAGGGTGGCAATGCCAACATAGGAGCGCACCAGTTCAGCCAGCAGTCTCAGGATGGTGGAGGTAGGCATGAGGGGTTTGCTTGCCTTTACCTTTGCAGCTTTTGCCTCCTCTGAGCTGCTGCTTTTATCTCCCTCCTGCTCCTTTTTTTCCTCCCGCATTTCTTCAGGTGTAGAGGCTAAGGACATTTATGCAATCTATATATCAATCTCGCATAAGTTAAATGACACAATCCAAATAGTCAAAAAAGGTCTACTTTTTTTAATTAAAGGCTGCTTTGTGAGGAGACTACAATATCTATAATATCTGTTTTCACCTTCTCCTTGCGGTGTGCCAGACTGGGGCGACTCTGCCACACCTCCATCCGCAGCAAAAACTTGAGTCTAGGAAAAAGGTACCCATTATGACTTATACGGTCTCACTGCAACCAACTGAAATGTTTCTGATCATTGATAAAGCTCACATTGATATGGAATGCAGACTGGGAGTCAAAGTCGCTGCCCTGTCGAGTGAGACGGTACTGTTGGTAAACATCATCACCGACATCCTGCAAAATCTGGCAAAGGTCTTGGCTACCAGGAACAGCTGCAACACGTTCTTCTGGACGCTCAGCTATGACCACAAAAACAACAAAAAGTTTCACGATTAAGTTCAAATAACTGACACTGAATGTGATGACAGAAGGGGTGCTGCAAGTGAACGATTTAATATTTTCACAGCAAAATTTACCGATTACTCTATCGATTAATCAAACAATTTTACATTATGACAAATTATGCGTGCACGCTACAGTGTCGTACTTTAAATGTGTGGGGTTTTAGGGGACGGAGCTTGGCCTGGTGAGTGCCGTGTGCATGTAGTTGGCTGTTGGCGCAGACTGCGCATTGATTCACTGGGTATCAGTTGTCATGGCAGAAAGTGATTCAATGTCCTTATGTGTTGACTTGTTTTGTTCAATCCACTACTAGGTGGTTGTGTCTCTCGTTGACCACTTGTGGGGCATTACAAAACATTCTAACTGCAGGTTGCAGCCTGTATTGAATCAGCTCAGGATGTTTACATTTTCTGTACCGGCGAGTATCGCCATGCTGTTGCGCAAGCATGTCCTGGTTTGCAGAAAACACATTGAAGACATTTTTTCTTTTTAAATGATCCCAACATTTGGATTTGATGAGAAAACCCCTATTTTCATTTTAAATTCATTACATTATTGAGGTAGATCAAAAGACAAAAAAAAAAGGTGGCATTATAAAGTATTTTATTGTTTTTAAACAGACGAACAGATGCAGTCCTAGCATTTCACTTTCTGCCGTAGTTGAGACTAGTCCCAAATCCTACCTGCAACCTTTAGTTTCGACTACCAGGGTGAATATCACCATTTTGTTTGTTTTTGTAAATCTCCAAATAATTACAAAATAAAAATAAAATATCAGGTCCATAAAAAGTGCTTAGGTTCACATATCAAAAAGAGCAATACAAGGACTGAACACTGAACTTGCTTCAGATAAAAAAAAAAAAGAAATAAAATAGACCCTTAAATCACAGTGCTGTAAATTTGTACTTCAGAAATAACACTGTTAATCATTACAAAATAAAGTGCTGAAATAAACATCAATGACTTCTCGTAGGCTACAGAGGAAACAGCAGCAATGCTGACTTCATGCCTCGTACGCGGGGTGTACTGGGGTTTAGTTTGGCGAAGAGCTTTGCTATGGCTCACTATATTGCTAACGGTTTCGGTGCTAACGTTAGCTGTGGCTGCACTCGCGAATGGGTGCTTTGCATTGATGTGGTAGGCTAAACTTGAGCTGCTTCTGTGGTAAGCAAATTCCTTCTTACAAATTAGGCACAACACTCTACCTTTATCAATAGTGCCGTCAGGGCGTTTTTGGAATGTAAATTTTCCATTCATTGGGCCGAGAACTTTCACATGCTCCTCCATTTTCACCTCTCCGCTGCTTACCTGGCCCTCCCAACTCCAATGGCAGCCTATCATCTTATGCTAAACAAGCCCAAACATAATGACAGTCAGTCAATGTCCGCATCAGGCTGTGACTGACCATCTTTTCCCCACCCTCAACAACCCGAACACAGGAAGCCAACACATAAAAAGGGATATTATAAAAAGGCACCCCACCTACAGAAACAAAGTTAGAGATTCAAATTTAGATTAACGCAATTAAAACATGCTAAATATGACTAATTATTTAAAACATAACATGCTAAATATGACTAATTATTTGCAATTAATGCGATAATTTGACACCGCTATATTTGTTGCAGCCCTAGAACACCCCATTAAAAAGTTTAAAAAAACCAAAACAAAAAAAAAAAAAAAAAAACTTACGTTCTTCTGGCGCATGATACGCTGCCAAGGCGTTGAGCATATCATATATGACCTCCTTGATAGTTTCCGGAATAGAAGGTAGTGGGGACAATTTCAGAGGAGTCGTTTTCACCAGCTGCACGGCATTTGGCCCCTTAATACGAAGGTTTTCAAACTCGTCATCAGAGGCTACGGAAAGACAGAAAACCAAACTGAAGGAATGCAGGTCAGCAAAACAAATGGACAGCCCTATGAAATTATAATTCACCTGTGCCAGCTCCACGGGGTGCAGGGAGAGCAATGCGGACACAATTGCTGGCAGTTTCCGCAAAGCACTCTGGGTTACGACAGGCAGCCGGGCCAAGGACACGCAAGATATAATTAATTTCCCTTGAACCAAGGCTGCCTGACACCACTCCTGAGGTGGTGCTACCTGCTCCACTGGTCACTGCGGATCTCACCACCTGTAGCAACAGATGAACTCTTTAAAATATATATTGACAGAACTCACGCAGTAAGAAAAATAAGGAAAATGAGAAGGGACTCAAACCTTTTCCATAGTATGCCGAAGAGTAGCTGGATCTTCAATAATGTGTCTGAAGAGCAGGGTAACAAGAGGTGTGAAGCCATTGAAACCAGAGGTTTGTGTGAGTCCAAGAATCATTCGGGTGCTCTTCAGCTCAGCAAACATCATGGCATAGTGGTGATTTCGCGTCAAACGCAAACAGAGTCGCAGTGTAGCATGGAGGGTGTCTGGGTCCACCGGGACACTAATCATGCTGACACAAGCGCGGATGAGAACGGTGGTCATGTCGTCACTCAGGCCGATGATGTCCGAGCCTTGCAAAGAGTCCGACTCCTGGGAAGATGCGGAGCCAGAGGTCACCTCCTTAAGATGGCTGGAAACATCCTTGGGGGCACTCATTTCCACTGCCACCCCAATGTCAAGGTCAGCCTGAGTTTCTTCGGCTTTGCACCGGTCTCCGTCTTCTCTCTCAGAGTCTGTTACGCAGCTGGTTTTGGCTGGTTTGGCCAAGCGTGGAAGTCTCTGAACAGTCAACATCACTGGCCTCCGGTTACCAGTCTCTTCATTTACCTACACCAACGATTATTGTAATTAGATTAGAAAGGAACCCATATTGAAGTTCAAGAGGTTATCCCCAATTTTTGTACAATGCATTATTGCATACCTGCACCATGTTGTTAAACTGAACTGTGTATCGCCTGCGTCCAGCTGTGAAGCGAACACTGCTCTCCCCAGCCCTCCATGCAGAGTCAATAGTGCTGTTGTTGGAAGCGCTGTAACTACACCAACGGCCTGAGCGGTCATCAAACCATCTCCAGTTATTCCCATTCGGCTGAAGATACTGAAGAGAGATTACCAGTGCAATTTATTAGTAGTACCCACGGATTGTACACCACACTCAAAGCTTAACGTAGCTCACATATAGTGCAACTATCATTTATGAAGCAGCTCAATTTTTTTACCTTGTTCATTTGTGATCTGCGCTTTGAAGATACTGCCATTTTCTCATAAAAGTCAATAATCAACAAGACTGGTGTAATCCACCTGCAGACAGTGAATATTGCAGTTCATGTAGAAAAATGACCAAGTTTCAGCATTTTTGTATTCATTTGGTTATGCAGTTGTTCTTTATGTCAAAGGCTATTTGGAGCCCTTGGAAACTCACTTTGGTGTCTGTATGTCTTTCTGTTCTTTTGCTGCCTGCAGACAGGGCTGTACCACTTCAAGCAGCTTAATCAACAAATCCAGAATGCCACTCTTTTCGACCACTGTGGTACACATGAGCTTCAGTTCCTTTAGAGAAAAAAAACAAAACAAAAATGATCATTGCCTGGGATATAAAATTTGCTGTGCTGCTGTAAAAACATTCTAGTTACCTCAAATAACAACGTGAGCAGCAGAATGCGAGTGGCCAGCTTTGATGCCTGGGGTAGTGTGGCCATTTGTTTAGTCCATTCAGACACAGTCTTCGTATCACTTGTAGTGAGAGGCACAGCTGCCTTGATCAACACGTCCGCTGCATCCCACACCTAAAATACATCCAAACAATGTTCACACGATGGTTTGAATCATTTAATGGCTCATCTGCTCAAAAGTGTTTCTATACAAGTATACAGGTGCATCACCAAACTTCAAATTTGACTACCGTATTTTCCGGACTATAAGTCGATCCAGCCATAAAATGCATAATAAAGAACAAAAAAACATACATAAGTCGCACTGGAGTATAAGTCGCATTTTGGGGGGGAAATTTATGTGATAAAATCCAACCCCAAGAACAGACATGTCATCTTGAAAGGCAATTAAAAAAAATAAATAAATAGAAAACAACACGCTGAATAAGTGTACAATATGCTAACGTTACATGACGCATAAACTACGAACTGAGAACGTGCCTGGTATGTTCAGGTAACATATTAAAAGAGTTATTCAGATAACTATAGCATAAAGAACATGCTAACAAGTTCACCAAACCATCAATGTCACTCCAAATCACTAAATCCAATGGAATCTTCATCCTCTATGTCAGGGGCCCCCAACCTTTTTTGCCCCACGGACCGGTTTATGTCAGACAATATTTTCAGGGACCGGCATTTAAGGTGTGGTGGAAATAATATGGTATGAGCTGCATGAAAACTGTGGCGTTTTCGAAATATAAGGAGCATCTAATCCGGTCGCAACACTCTTATCGCTATGGCAATGTTTAATGCCTTCAAAATACGATACAACGCAAATTCAAAGTGCGTGAAAATGACGACTCACCACAGCACCGAGCTTGATTTTCTGCAACCAGACGGTCCCATCTCGGGGTAATAGGAGACAATGACACCCCAAGTGTGTTGTGCTTTATGTCCAGTCTACTTCGTAATTTTGTTTTCGTCGCCGTTGCTGCAGAAACCCCCCGCCTCACACAGGTAGGATGTCGGAAATAGCAACAGTGATATTGTGGCGATCTCAGAGTATTCAGCCATAACTTTAATCCAGTTGTCTCGACCGTACTTTTAAGGCAGCCGTCATTTGCGATCTCCAGCAGTTTTTTTACTCATTTTGCGAGCTCCTGTGTTTTGTTTTGAAGTAATCGGTCACGTGACGGAGAAGCGTGGCTTGATGTGTGTCAAGTGTGACACAGACAGATGTAACGGAGAATCCGGTAGTTTTTCAAAATAGAACAACTTTCGTTTTCCGAAATAAATAAACCGGAATTAAGGCAAGTTCTTTCTGTGCGGCCCGGTACCAAATGCTCCGCAGACCGGTACCGGTCCGCGGACCGGCGGTTAGGGACCCCTGCTCTATGTCACTTTAAAGCAACTCCACCAACTCCGGAGGTAGAAGATGCAGCGCTTCCTCTTCTACGTCGCTTACGTCAGACTCATCGTGGTTTTATCAACACAGGTCTAGAGCGGCCGTCTCGCAGTTTCATGTGAAAATAACATGTGAAATGATATAATAATGTGTTAATAATTTCACCCATAAATCGCTCCAGAGTATAAGTCGCCCCCCCAGTCAAACTACAAAAAAACTGCGACTTATAGTCTGGAAAATACGGTATTTGAACATAATAAACACTGATATGAAATAAAAAAAAAAATTGAGAGAAAGGATAAGCATAAGAAATCATGAAAATTGAAATCATTGACCTGATCGACGACCTGGCCAAGGATGAGGTCTCTGTACTCAGGGCCACTCCGCTTGATGGCAGTCATCAACAGGTCACAGAGCCGGTAGACCGTGTCAGGCAGCTCATCCAGAAGGTGGAAGCATCCAGGGAGCATAGAGTCTGTGAAGGCATGCAGCTCTTGCGGGTCCAGGGGTTCAGCCTCCATGAAGCGCTCCAAACAGCGTGCCTCCTCCTCCTCCGCTCGCTCCCTGGCTCTCCTGTCCTCCTCCTCGCGCCGACGTGCTGCTTCCTAAGAGATCATTTCATCAGCAACTTGTCTCCTGACTATTCATTCATGACATGTCCCCTACCGGCCAATGGTCAGGTTTTGAACACACTTTTGAGCAGCAAGAAAAACGCACCTCAGGGGAGTCGGAACGTTGCTCCATGCTGACTTCCTGGCCAAGTGACATCGCAATTGCTCTCATCATTTGGTCCTCTTCAGACATGGAAAGATCCTAGACCAACAACGATCAACATTGCCAGTCGCCTTAGTTGGAATGATGATTATTTCAAAAGTGTGTGCTGATTGTGTCAAGACATGATTACCCTTACTGCTCCCCCAAGGTGAGGAGGGGGATGCGTCAGAAGATATTCTGTGGCTTGCTCCATGGTACTTGTGTTCAATAAGGCCTCCATGGCGTGCTCTCTTGAGAAACCCATATCCATCAGCTAAAATATAAAATATTACTTTTATTTTGTAACAGGAAAAACCTATGTTCACAACCGAGGAAAAAATAAACAAATAAATAAATAAATGGAGATAAAATTTGTTTAATGGCTCTGAAGTACCATACAAACTCAAGAACTGAATTTCAAATTTAGATTTGCATGCTGACTCAAGTGCCTCAAAAATAAAATCTGACATACCTGTGTAAGCTGTGCCTGGTTAATCTGGGGGTCACGTCTTGGAGTGGAATTGGTTGACTCCTCAGCTGATCCGCCAGGTGGCACTCCAGCAGTTGGGGGCGTGGCTGCTGCCGTCTCTCCGCTGATTGTAGCTACACCAGGGGCTGCATTTGTTCCCAGGGAAGAAGAAGGAGCCCCCTCATCATCTGGACGTGTTGTGCCCTCTCTCTCCTTGGCCAGGCGCTCCTGGATAACTGGCTCCCCCCGCAGGATGTGGCAAAGGATGGCCAGCATGGATTCAGCCATCCTGCCTCCATAAACTTTCAGCGGCTTCCTATTCCACAGGCTGCGGATGCAGCTGAACGCAGCCTTAAAAGACAGACTTAATATTTGTTACCAACATCATGGTTGTCACCAGATTGCTATTTCACACTGTGGATTAAAAAAAAAAAAAAAGGTGTGTGTGTGTGTGTGTGTGTGTATATATATACACACACACACATACACACACACACACACACACACACACTTTTTTTTTTTTTTTTACATGTTTACTCCTACCATCCGATAATATCTGAGGATGACTGATGATGGCGGATGACTTGTGAACACACGTACTTAATAGTGCAGAGGTTATGGGTTCAAATTGGGGCTTCAGCCTTCCTGTGTGGAGTTTACATGTTCTCACCATATCATTAAAAGTGACAGTATTCAGCGATGGGCAGTCCGTAAAGACGGAAGGTCCGTCTGTGCGTCACTGATGGACTCCCAATCCACTTTCAAACACCGACAGAATAAACACCAACGTAGCAATTTTTAGCCATTAACCAAACCGTTACCAACCCAAAACGCAAAGATGAAAGATGGCCAAATGTTTTGTTGAACACTGTGATTTTTTTTTTTGTCAGACTGTACTGCTCATATCAGACGACAGGCCGGATCTGGGTCACACATGACGTTGGCATGCATCCTCGAACAGCGCAAAACTACATTACGTGCTGTTAGGTGCAGTCTCCTGATGGACAAAAAGGCCGGAGCCCTGTTTCAAAACCTCAACCTCTGAAAAGTGAGGCAAATTTGCTAACCAGTTGGTAACTGTGCCACCATCAAAGAATATGACGTTAATAAATGTGCGTTCAAAATGGCAAGTACAATGCTGACAAGACTTCGTTGCATTGCACAGCTAAAGAAAACTTACCTTCTGGGTTACTATGAGGAACCGAAGTGCACTGAACTGGGGTGTGGTTGGTGTGACCCCAGGCATCTTTGCTGGCAGTGAATGTGGAGAGTCTAGCACAGTGCTCGGATTTACCATCTTCTCCACCAGCATCAACCAAGCATCCAGAAACTCTCCTGTCCCATCTGGTAATTCAGTATGCTCCAGACCCTCAGACACAGGAACCTTTCCACCCATTGACAGGGCCCAGTTAAACGTCCTACCCAAAAAAAATACCCAAGTGTTGAAATTCATGTTATATATGAAATTAGAATCGATACAAGTTCATAGCTGTATGCTCAACTTACTCAAACAGGGCATCATGTCCACCAGAGCAGAAAAACTTTTGCAGCATGAGGTGGTATGGGTACTTCCTCTCATCAAACAGCATAGGAGATGTAAAGCCAACAGAGCAGATGAAGAAAGTCAGCCTGTGAAAGCACAAGAACACTTATGTGAAAATTACCACTTGTTAAGATATACAATTCGTGCAACATGGTCTTACCTGAAGCGAGGTGTGGGTGTATAGGGTGGGGGCTGCCAACTCAGACCCTTAGTGAGGAGCTTTGTAAGAGCAGAAGCAGTGGCTCGGGCTGCAGGTGTGGGTGTTGTGCCTGTGCTTGTGGCATGGTGGGAACGACGTTGACGTACTGGAGAGCCGACACACAACTTCACCAGCAGGCCAAAAAGTTCAGCAAGTGCCCTTCCCAACCGAGATGACGCTGAAGGCAGTCAAGACATCAGTCAAATATTACATACAGTCATTATTGCAGGAAAGCTCAATCTGTTCAGAAGCTTTGCTAAAAAACTTGATCAGCTCACCAGAGAGGAGGGGTTTTATTTGTTTAATGCGCGTCGCCATTGCAGGGGTAAGCTTGGACTTCGACTTAGTGTCTGTTGAGGTGCTTTCGTCTGTCTCCATGGGAGCCAAGCTATCGCCATCTAAACCCATGCCCTCCAATAATCCACCAGTAGAAGTCTCCGCCACGTCAGATTCTATTGATAAAAATAGATGACAAAGTGTGTTCCAAAGGTGCACACAAAAACTTTGATTTTAGCTGAAATATATGACTATGTAAACCTGTTCTCCTGGAGCCAGGTGTTGTGGTTGTCGTAGCACTATTAGAGGGTTTCTCGTCTTTGGGTAAGAGTTTCTGCATGTCCGCTTGCCCAAACTCACAGCCTGGAGGCAGACTATTAAAGACAAAAGCGTTAGGTGGGTAATAGTGGGCGGAGGTGATACAATGTAGGAGGTAATTAATTGTGCTTATACCTGTTAGGTGTGCAAAGGGAGAGCAGAACAGTACTCTCCCATACCAGTGAACAGTAGAGCTGACTCAGCTTGTTGAGAACAGTCAAACCCAATTGGGATCCCCACTGATTGACTGAGATTGCCCTGATCTCACTCTATTGACAAACGGACACATTCAAAGAATGACCAACACATAATCAAAACATCATTTGCAGGGATGGTTTCCTATTGAAACTGAGAGGGGGAGGGGCAATGTTTTGAACAACTTGGTAAACCAGAGAGAGAGAATGGGATCAAATAAACTCTGAAATCAGTATTTACCTGTCCTACGCGACAAGTGTGGACAAACATTAGGATGTAGGCGTGCGCTGCAGTAAGCGCATGTAGCAGGGGTGTGGCACGAGCGGACAATGTGGCATCAGTAACATGGCCAGCATTAGCCAGCTCCCTCAGCAGAACAGATCCACCAGGAACCTCAATTGGTCGATGTAGTGGCTCCAAAGATGTCAGAATAGTGTCAAGTTGGCACAATCCCTCCTGAAGTACTTTAGGCTCATGTGAGAGTGTCTTCATAAATGGAATGAAAGCAGGAAGTATGCTCAGGATGTCAGTTAAAACAGTTCAATTGTTTGGAGCGACTCACACAAAGGAAGAAAAGTAAAAAAGTGAGATTCGACTCACCAAAATGGACTTGCACACACCAGCAACAGCTTGGCAGGCTGCTGAAGTGGGAAAATCTATGGGCAGGTTGGGCAAACCCAGAATAGAGACCAGAGGTAGCAGGCCCTTCTGGTTCACAAACTCCTGACAGTGGTCATCCGTCGTATTGTTGCTAAGTATGGATTCCACAAACTTCATCTAGAAAACATCCATATCACATGTCGGTCATGGTTTTACAACAGTTAAAAAAGACTTACACCAAAGACTCAACACTCACCACATTCAAAATGTAATCCATTAAAGGAATAGGTATTCGCTCCTCAGTTCCCACCACCCTGAAAGAAGGTATGTGTTAAAATGAAGAATGACATACACTAAGTACAAAATGAATTTTAAACCATCCGTCGATACAAAATGTGTATCAGAGCTGCTGCTCTATTGTCATATAAACCCAGTGTCATACAGTTCAAGTGGCACTGACTGTCTGTTGCTCTCTGCTTCCCCCTGCTGCTGGCTAAATGTGTGGAGGGCCTCCTCTTCCTCTTCATCCTCACTTGAAGCTTCTTCGGCAGCATGGCTGGAGCGTGCTGGTGGCACAGTCACAGTACCATCAGCTTTCTGGATAGACGGTTTCTGGCAGACATACTCTGGAGCTCGGCCCAAATTGCAGATCTCCTCCAATAACTAAAACAACAATTCAACTTTTATTAGAATGTATAGCCACAATTATACGTCAAAAGAGGTATCTTCAAAATTTAAAGCTACCTTAATGATTGCAGTAGTGGCATCTGTCTTCAAAGTTGGTTGATGTCTCATTAACTCATCTACAGCACTTCCCAAATTTGATGCAGTGTCCCCTGCAGATAGGGACAAATGTATCACTCGAGCAAGCTACAAAGGCACTGAAAACACATGGCACCAAAAGCCAACTCACCCAATGGGTCAGAACTGCGTCGCCGTCGCATGGCAGGTAAGTAGTCAGGAGACAAGAGCACTTTGAAGAGGCGCTCAAAGGGCTGACACCGAACAAAGGACAGGAGCCCTCGGGCATTCAGGCACAACGCACTGAACACGTTAGGGAGAGATCCCAAGACCTCACGAGTAGCAGGAACCTAATTCAAGTGAAAGATTAGGAATGCACATTAAAGGGCATCACTTAACGATTGCTTGCAGTCACAGAGGTAATGTTCCCGAAGCTACATTGAGCATTTGAAATTGGTTAGAGCCAAACTCAGCTGACAAACAAGGTATTCATTTGTTTTGTTTTGAATGTCCCAAAGTAAGGTGCCATAACTCACATCTTTGATGAGAAGGGCATGGAGCATAACATCAGTGAGACCATTATCCTGCAGGGAGGAAAGCAAGGATGGCTCCTGGAACACAAACACCGTCACAACCTCGGTTGCTACAAACCCAGAGAGACAGGAGAAAAGAAAAACAGCATTATTGTTGTTCGGAAACACAACAAACAGTAACATGATAGCACAAAACAATGTCTTTCGAAGATTCTAAAAGGCTTTCTTAATAAAACATTTTCTGAAGCGCTAAAAAGAACTCACCAAGAAGGAACAGCGAGGGTCCATAGTATTCTGCATTACTGATGATGTGTTTGAGTGAGGTAGGCAAGGATCCATCCATGACTTGAAAGAAAAAAAAATACAAAAGTGACCACAGAAAGATTAGTAGCAGCAGCAAACTGCATGCAAAGGTCTTAGGTGGAGCTTTAGGCTGCGCGGTTCTGGATGTAGAGGATGACTCACCATGGCGGATGCCATCAGAGAAGGCAGGGTCTTGGATGGCTTTCTTCAGGAAATTCAGCATTGACTTTAACAGAGCTGCCCTTTGGGGAATACACTGCATGCCTGCAGAAAAGGACATGTAAATAGTTGAAATATTTCAAAAGTGTCTGTGTTGTTTTGCATCAGATTATACTGCGTGTGTCTACCTGCACGGGGCGTGTTTGCAGTGCTGCTCAGTGCTCTCTGCTCCATTTCCGGTCTGGAAGCAGAAGCCGCTGATGGCCCAGGGCTGCTTTCCATGGCAACTTCAGACGCTGTTTCATTTATTTAATCATGTTATGTTAACTGCAATCTAAATGATCAATACTATTTTGAAAAGTGATTCATTTCAGCTGACTTACTCTCCATGTCTGTGTCCATGTCTTCAGACTCGACAGCAGGCCTTGGCCTTCGGATCTTTGGCTTAATGACGAATGGGCACTCTTTTCTTGACAAGTCCACCTCATGCTGTGTGCGTCAAATGCCGGAGAAGGGAATGGTTAAGAAGGAATATTTACATTTCAATGATTGTACATGTCAAACCCCCACGCACTCTACCTCTAGTCTGCAGATGAAAATAGAAAGGCCGCTGTGTGACTGGAAGGCAGCCATGTCAAGGTTGGTGATGAGGTCCACGACCCGAACCGCTCTCGTTACAAAAGTGATCTGGTCCTGCTCATCTCCCAGAAATTTGATCACCTGCGAAGTAAAAAATCATGCTGCTGAAAAAAGGAACTCCTTTGACAAGAGATGTAGGTATACCTTTAAAAGGGCTTCCATCATTCCACAAGAGACAAGGGCTTCACCCCCAGCATCGTAGCTGGCCAAATGATAGAGGAAGGAAAACAATGCAGTTGCAAACTGATGTGGGTAAGGTTCCATCAAAGGATCTGGAAAGGAGAGGTTCAGAAGAAAGACTCCTTAGTATGAGGTGCCAAGCCAACTGCTAGCAAAGGGGGATACTCACCAATCATTGCCTGTATACAGTTGCGCACCAACACGGGCAAGAAGCCATGGTAGGAGGCAGTGCCGGTGCAGTCAATGATGTTGGAAAGCTTGGGTGTTCGCTCCAAATGGACAATGGAGGTTAAAGTGCGCAGGGATGCCGCCTTGATATCCTGAAGTACCAAGAGTTTGTTTCAAACTCAAGCTTAAAGGGCAAATCAACTTTTTTAACAATACAGTGAAACTCCTCTACAACGAAACCTATATGGGCGAAAATACCCCCTATTGTGAAAAAAATCTTCATGCATTAACACCATTCCCACTCTCCTGCCCCCCATACAACGAAAAAAAAAACCCTGTTGCGTTATACGAAATCTTTTTCTCTGCTCTTGCCTCACGAAGAGATTCACTACAACGAAGTCTAATCCAACAGCGACCTCTACTGCTTCGTTCGGAAACGGCAACAGCAACCACCACACTGGTTTACAGTAAATATTCCCATCTACAGAGTTCTTTCAAAAGGAAATTCCTTAACCCGGACTGAAAACCTATGCATTAAAATTTCGACTATGATGTTACATTAACGATCAATTCATAACACCGAAATTTCCACTACCTGCAACCCGGAAGCCATACAGAAGCACGCAATGGCGCAAACACAAGCAAGTCCCGCTCGATACTACGGAATAACTCTGTCCGCGCTGCTATTTACTCTCATTGGATACAAAACGGCGACATGTAAGTGACTCTAATAGCATGAGTTTTACTGGAATAGTGAACGATTTTTATTTCGTTCACAGCTCCGAGTTTCCTGAACGCAACATTCTCATAGCTGCTCTGCCATTGGCTTACCGAGCATCATCCTGGCCTCCGATTGGCCAAGAGGGACCTCACTGTCTATGTGTGTAGATACTGTAGCTAGATCCGTGGAAGACAAGAGTGGAATGCATCCGATTAGTTGCTCAGAGTAAATTGCTTGTGGCTCGACGGACAGTCAAATAAATGAACGTGTGTGTGTGTGTGTGTGTGTGCGTGTGTGTGTGTGTTTATATCTGAGATCAAATTTGCTACAGTGACAAACCCTCTGTTGTGAAAAATTTCTTGCTGCAAACATGATTTCGTTGTAGAGGAGTTTCACTGTAGTATGTTTCTATGCAGCCTAAACGTGGTATTCTGATGAATACAGCGCTTGTGGAATATGAATTAAGCAGCAAAATCCATCCGTTTATGCATATTTGGGGGCGGCTATTTTGCTGTACACTGAAAATGTATGCATGACTGTATTAAGTTCGCACACACCAGAGGGAACCCGCAAAGAATAAATCATAATCATGAGGCACAAATGTTTAACTCTTTTCATTCTATTTGTTATTACGATATGTCTTTAGAAAGAGCAATATCGTAGAGTACTATTTTTAAAAAGTCTGTTGGTTTTTTTTTTTTTGCGCAGGCTGGTATGGCTTCATGGCATTTCCATTTATTTCATTGGTGAAAAATGATTTGAGATACATGTATTACAGTGAAACTCCTCTACAACGAAATCATGTTTACAGCAAGAATTTTTTTTCACAACTGGGGGTTTTTCACTGTAGCAAATTTGATCTCAGATGTAAGCGCGCACACACACACACACACACACACACACACACACACACACACACACACACAAACGTACGTGTACATGCACACACAAATGTATGTGTACTCTATTTTTATTCCAATAGTGCATAAGTATGAGCACACACTTATT